AATCCAGAAAAGGCATTCTCAGTTTTACAGCATGCTTGTTTCTGGTGTTTTGGCCTGAAACAACTTCATTTCATTTTATTTATGTGTTGCCATTCATAGCCATTTAAAAAAATGGGTTGGCCTTTCTGTAAGTGCTCTTTGACAGTTGTTCTGACCATGGGATAGATCACCTGTGTGTTCCTATTTAATTCCCCAGCCATTATTCCAGATTCGTATAATGACTGGAAATAACCATATCTTAAAACGAAAAACATATCCTTCTGAAACTTCATGGCCTTTCAGTAAAGGAAATGAAAACGTGGTCTCTGATGTTGCTTCTTTTTTTGATAAGATCTTGGATGTGACTTTTTTTCTATCTATAAGGTATCTTCTACAGGTATTTAAGGCAAACTCATGCAAGTGTGTGTGGGAAACGTGTTAGGCTTGAATTCCTTGTTACACAAAGAATTAGTTATACCTTTTGGCATAGTAAGCAGTCCCTTAATGTTTTGAACTGGAAAAGAGTAAAAGGCTCTAAGTTTTCTGGGCAAAATGGAAATGATATTTTTAGTGATACTTGTTTCCACAATATTTTTCCCCTAACAGGTAATTACAGAAAGCTACAGGTTCCCACTACAGTTGTGAAGTCTAGGAGAATTTCCCAGCTGCCCCATCCAGTAGAGCCGGATGGAAATCTTGGAACATGGCAGTCGGCTTAAATCTCAAACTTCCCCTGAATTCAAGTGAGGCAGCAGTCTTGCAGGTTAGGGTCGCAGCCTGGAAAGATATTTAAGAGACTGTTAAATAATAGCCTTGTCCTCGGTGAGTGCAGTTCTCTGGGCTGTATGAAGCAGTGTTTCACCGCAGTCTGTAACTCTTCCCTTCTTCCACCTCCTGCTGTCGGACAGTACAGTAGTTTAACCTGGAATTCTGCAAGAGTGGATCACTTGCCTTGGTCTTCTTGGAGGTTTGCATGCTGAAGTGTCGTGGTAAGATGGAGGGAAGCACTGCGTTGTCACTTACTCTGGGTGTTTGTGTGTACACACACAGGAGTCCAGTGATACTGAAGACTCCCCCAAAATATTACTCAGCTTTAGGTAGTCTAAATCACTGGACTCCTTCTGAGGAAAAGAATGAAAAAAAAAAAAAAACCCTCCTGAGGCATATTAATGATTCATAGAGCTGAACAGTTTGTCTCTAACAGTGGCAGTACAAAATGTTAGAGAGGGAGTGCAGGCCTGGCCACTTGGTATCCAGTCTCTCCATATTTCCCTAGTGTCCAGAGTGAGGAGTTGTTATTTTTCTTGAACCTGCTGATGCCGTGAGCCTCAAAAAACTCATGCAACAACATGTTCCAGGAGTTCACTACCCACAGGATGAGGAACTACTCGCTTTATCCCTTTTTAAAGTGATCTGTTAGTTTTCACAAGTGCCACTCGTTCTAGTACTGCATGATTGGGTGAAGAACTGGTTTGCGTTTTTATTAATCTTCTTTGTGTCTTCTACAGACCTCAGTGATATCCCCTGTTAGCCTTTTCCAAAATGATGAGTCTCAGCCTTCTCAGTGTCTCGTCAGAGAACGATTGCTTCATCTCCTTGGTCATTTTTAGTTGCCTTTCTCCAGGAGACCAGAACTACACACATTACTCAAAATACGGGCATAAAAAGCTTTTAGACAGCTGAAAAGTGGTTCCTTTGTCTCATTCTCAGCATTCTTTTTGATGACGCCCAACCTGTTGTTGGATTCTAGCTGCCACTGCATATTAAACTAATGTTTTCAGAGAACTGTAAATGTAGAGAAAGAGCATGGCAGCTACGTTCCCGACATCTACATCCCCCGGCTTGCATCTATATCACATCAGCTACGTCCCCCGGCCTGCAGCCGCAGCTCTTAAAATGAGGTTGGATGGAGTTGGACTTTGATCCCTCTCTATTTCTGTTATAATTCTTTAATATGCGTTAGTAATGTTTTCATGCTGCTGCTGGTTTTGTTACGGGTTTAGGGTGAGGTCTTTGGACTTTAGACTGTGTGTGAGGAGGTGTGCAGTGCTTGCCAAAATGGGCTGCCTAGGTCCTCTAAAGCTTCTTGATTCTCTTGAAGATGACAGCAAATGTATGCTGTGTATCTAAGCAGAAAAACAACAAAATGACAACTGAAACTAGTATGTTTAGTTAGGCATTGTCGTCATGTATTTCTGGTAGGAACGAGCTTGTAGCATCTCTCAGAAGCCTCTGACTAACAGCTACGCTACCCTGCTCCCTTCTTTTGGCACGTTTTGTGGTTTCTGAGGTATCGGTCCAGTTGTGACCTCTTAGTTTGGGCTGTGCAGATGCCTAGTGGTTTAAGCAAACAATATTTTTTCCCATAGAGGGCAATTTAGATTCAATTACAAGGTCAAAAACAACTGAGCAGCACAGTTTGAACCTACTTAAAAATAAGAATTATGCTGGGAATTTGTTAGGAAGCCTAAGTTGGGCAGGAACTTGCTGGAGCGTTAAAAAAGTTTGTGATGTCCTCTGACGCTACCATCTCTTAGTCTTGCAGAAAAACCTTTAGCTTTTTTAACAAACTCCTCTCATTCTAGACAAATAAGTAAATCCTGAACAGCTTTGGCAGATCAAGAATTTTGAACCTTTTTTTTTGATACAGGTCAATTTGTATCAGCTTCTGTATTGTCTGTACTGATCCACGATTCTCCTGCAATCCATAACTCGGGTTAGAGAGAGTCGATATTTTTGTTAACTACTGAGATGACCAATATCATTCAGTTTCAAACCCAAACAATATGTCAGTTCCTGAAAAGGAAATACGTTAGTCTAGCATGCAACCGTGTCAAAGAAAATTCTTTGAGCAAAGATAAGCAGTTCTTCACAAATAAAGCATGTTCATCTGCAGGAGCTCTTAATGCAGTAAGATTTACTGTTGAACAAATGATTTCACTTGCTTTCTATTCATCTGTTACAGAAAGAACCCAAACTTCACTGTCTCTGTACACGTACTGTATATTTAATACTGTGTTGCCTTAACTCCATGCTTAGTTTTGCTTTCTTACACATCTTCATGCATTAGTTTCCATCAGCAGTGTTTGCATGACCTCCGCTAACACAGTGTTGGAGTATTTCAGTAATACTGTGTGTAATCGCAGCTCACTTGTTTGAGGAGCCAGTGCTGGTTATTTCCCAGGTGAAAAAGGGAAACTGGGGCGCCAGGACACAGATCTGTCTCCTTAGCCTGTTCTGTTGAAATACAGAGATATTTGCATTAGCTTAAGGAGAATCTAGGACTCTGCGGTCTCTAGGAGCGCTGTGTAACTCATGCTCTTTAGGTAGCAGTCTGCAGTGTAGGGGTGCTGTAAGCGCTGCGTCAGAAGTCTGCGGTGAAGCGGAGGCTTTAGCTCAGATTTCTTAATTCCAGGCTTGTTTTCTAACTGCTATACACCTGTTCTTACTTTCTCTACAAGTCCTTTTTGCATGATATTAAAGTTCTTAACATATAGTATATAATAACAAAAATACCTTTTTTTATAGAAACCTGATGTAAGGCACAGATAAGACTTTTTGGGCAATAGGACAGTAACGTAACGACAATAGAAAGCGTTCCCGTTTGTGTAGCTACCATGAAACATGGCGTTTAAAACACTGTAAGTTTTATGCCCTGGAGGAAGATTTGATATCGGTCTCAGGCGGCTGGATGGGGCCCCAATACAGCATGTTCTTCATACGAGAAAACAGGCGCACCCACATCCCCTGTAAAATGTGCAGCCCTTGGTATTTGGGAGCGGGGAGGAGAAAATGAGGAGCCTATGCTGACAGTTTGAGGCACAAGCAGAAGAGCTCACTTCTCCTCATCTCCATGTGGTATCTGTTAAGGCCTCCTGCCGCTGCTATATGAAAGTGGAAGGGAACGTGAAAGTCGCTTAACATAAAATACAGGATCGCGCAATAGTTGGGGTTGTCAGGGACCTCTGGAGATCATCTGGTCCAACGCCGCGGCTCAAGCAGGGTCAGCTAGAGCAGGTTGCCCAGGAATTGCGCTTGGGTACTTTGTCCTGTTTCAGGATGTATCGTGGCTTTAATTCCTCTGTCCTCCTTCATAGTTGAGTAGGACAAGTGTCCTCCCATCTTGCCGTGTTCCATATGGTAGTACAGATTTCCCTGCTCATTTGATTTTCTTAGCTGCTCTTTTTGGGATCACGATCCTCTGAAATGGCACTTTGTTTTGTTTTGAAGATGGAGTCCTTGAGTAGGTGGTACAGCCTGCTGTTCCTCTCGGAAGGGAGGAATAATAGTTAACTGGAAGTTTTGGTTATGTCTCTCTTGCTTTTCTGAGAGAGAGGGAGAGTTTTTTGTACGTGTGTGTCAAGTTCTTTGTTTTCATTTATTTGAGAAGAGCTTTTGCAGTTGAGTTCTTACTACTTTCCTTACGGTATTTCAGAATTCAATAAACTCTGTAAAATATCAGCTTTATTAGGGTCCCACTTGTTGTCATTGAAAACAGATAAAACTGTAAGGAAGCATGTTTCTGTCCTTTGGTGTGTGTATGTGTTTTTTTTCTTAATGATGTGCAAGTAATTATCTCTTACCTTCTCTCCTTTACTGTAGATGACAAGTGATGGTTGCTCTAAGGAAACTTGGCATTTTCTTACTTCCTTGACTTCTGGAGATACTGATTTTTAGCTTGACTAGACCTGATTGCTTTAACGAGTCCAAAATGAAAGACAATTTTTTTTCCTATTATTTCCTCACCGTACATTCTTTAAAGTCATTGAGAAGTTGTCAGTAGAGCTACAGAATTTGTCTGTACTGGTTTTTAAGGTTCCAACATAGCAGTGTCTGGGTTGTAACTACAATAAATGATCCTGAATGACATTTTTCTCTTTTCTTACCGTGAATTTTTGTATTGCTGATATAAAACACAACCAGTGTGGCCCATAGCTGCCCGTCTCGCGCATAAAGGAAGAGGAGAATTCAGTGTTTTAACAAACACAGCTTTTTGTGTGCTGTTTACTGTAGGAGGTAAGATGATGTCTTTCTGGCTGTTGATCATCTCCTGGGCTGTTCATCCAAGCGTGCCAGCTCTGGGCTTCAGGATCCCATGGGTGGGTCTCAAGAGAGGGGGGAGGTGAAGAGAGAGGGGGAGAGAGCAAGAAAGAGGAGTGTGGCATTGATCCTTAAGTAAATCTGAGAAATCTGCAGTGGTACCAGGAAACTTTTCTTTTCTGTGTGAGTTTCATGGAATTTTCAGCAGCTATGTTAGAATCACCAACTCCATTGATTTAAGACAAAACAAAACCCCTGCACTACAAAGTAAACCTTGCTTTAGATTATCTTACTTGGAAGTTTAAAAAAAAGCGTGTGGGAGGGAACATGATACTTCCCTGTACTGGCGGCATCTTTGAAAGCAGATTGATTGTTGGAAGGAATGGGTAAGCTTTTACTGGCTTTTCCTATGTACCTGAGCTATTCCTAGGGTACTTTTGGTAGGTAAGTAGTGGTAAGTGCAGTACTCCTATCAGTTGCAAGGGTCTCTCAGTCTAAGATAGAATTTCTTCTTTATAGTTCTTAGTAATAAGTCAGGAGATATATTTCAAGTGTTATGTTCAGGTGGCCATGTTAATGACCATCTAGAAATACGGTAGCTAATAGATAACTTTTCCTCTTTGTAAATCCAGTGATGTAGTAAAAAAGCTCTGAAACATCTGTAAAGCAAGGAAGTAATAAAATGCAGTACTTCTGGTTTGGAGTTTTCTTTTTTGGACTGCATTATTCTCTACTAAACATTAAACACCACATTTGCTAGAAATAAGCTTCGCTCAGTGAAGAGTAGGAATAGTAACTGGTTTCTAGTTGGTAAGCTTGTAAAGCTTTTTTTTTTTTTTTTTTAAAGGAGAGGCTTCCTGTCCTTGTAGATAACTTCCAAATATTCCAATTTTTGTAATCTTTTTGTCCTTAGGACTCTCTCTACCAGTGATGATGTTGAGGACCGAGAGACTGAGAAAGGCCGCCTGGAAGAAGCTTACGAGAAGTGTGACCGGGATTTGGATGAGCTCATTGTCCAGCACTACACAGAACTCACCACTGCTATCCGCACCTATCAGAGCATCACAGAGCGCATCACCAATTCACGCAACAAGATCAAGCAGGTAAAGACTAACTTTGTATGTGTTGCTGTGTTTGCATCTGACACGTAGGTGCGGTTCTCCCTATTGGGTGGGTAGGGTGAACTCCGGGTACAAAGCTATGCAACTCTTGCATCTTTTCGCTGTCTACTTTCCTTTTACTAGTAGTGTAATGCTGTAAGTTCTCTCCCTTTTTCCAGCTACTTGTAATCAACCTGAACTGAGCTAAAAAGTGAATTGGGGAAGCACAGTTAGCCACCAGCTATGAAGCAGGCCTGCTTTTCAGGTCTGTCTGTATCATGGCTGGGAGCAGACTGTCCGATCCTGAAACTGTGGTCCCAGGCTATGTCTAATTGGCGACATATTTTCCATAGGATCTCTGTGTTGCTTGAGAATACAAGTAATTAATAAGTAAAATGAGAGGTGGATATGAAGAGCAAAGCTTTGTGTTACCCTCTGTTCATTTATTGTATGGGCATGTTGCTATCAAGTTTTTGAAGTCTAAAGGCTGCTAAGCTAACGCCTTTCCATTTAATCTCTTCAGGTCTTTATACGTGGGCCTCTGACTACCTCCTAAATAGATAGTCTGGGTGACTCATTAGCTTGCGTTTTCCACAGGGAATATGAATTTTGGTCTATTTCCATACTCAGTTCTGTTGTGTGAATGCGCATGAACTCTGTGCCACTATATCTTTCTGTATTTTGAGTGCTCACGCTTTAGTAGTGTGCCAGTAAATAGCTCTGGTGCTCTTTGTTGTGGACTTATTCCATCTGCTCTCTCTCTGCAGTTCTGATAACTGTAGCAACAGATTAGCTCTTTTGTCTCCAGTCCTATCATTTACTTCCTCTGTGGTTTGGTATACCCAAACTTTGCAAACGAGGTACAAAAATTATTCCTTTTTGTTTTTTTTTTCTTTCCTTCCCTCCTGGGGAGGGAAGCTTTAGGAGCAGTAGGCTGCAACCCTTCTGGGGCTGGATACTGATCCTTCTGGCTTTTAGAATTCATTTAGCATTTTCAAAAGAGAATGAGACCATTCTGATGCTTTCCAAGGGTAAGAGTTCATTCTAGGATTTATGTACAAAGCTCAGCACTTTGAAAGCAGAGATCAATTGCACTAAATTTGAAATAAACTGTAGCTTGTAACCTATTTTCACCCAGTATACTAAGCTTTGCAGAGGTCAGAACAAACATACAGAGGTGTGACCTTTTTGTCCTACCTAGAAGAATGACTGCAAGGGTGAAAGCCCTCTTGATATTTAAGTTTTTTTATTAGTTTTGGTCAACATGCATTGAAGTAGCTTTGACCTAATCTCACGGGAGGCACCTGATCTGACTTGTCATCAATCTGTATTACACTATCAGACTTCCTTTTGATGTTCACCTCTAGTGGAAGGTGGATGATCGCATAGATATTAACTCGGATTAGGAATCACTTTTGCAGAAGTGACAAATAGTCCAGATACCCCTATGCATCTACCTTTTCTTTGTATTCAATTCTTGTACGTATTTTTGTTGGGAAAGCTGTGCTAAAGTGTTACCGCTGTAAAACTGAGTTATTGAGGAGAAACAACTGGGCCTGTCAAAAGGGGCTTATTTCTTAAAGACTTACTGTTCAGTCCTTTCCCCCACTCCCTAATGTAAGTATATAGTTGATCCCCTTGCTTGAAAGAGAGGGGTAAGAATGTCTTGTGAGGTTCCTTCTAGCTCGGTGATTGTATGGGTTTTTACCTTGTTCCATTTGAAAAAAAAAAAAGTACTTTTCTTCTGGCAATGTTGATGTCCCTAGTCTAGAAAAATACTGTCAATTTTCCATATTCAATTATCAAAAGATAGAAATGAAAAATACTGCACTAGTCAAAACGAACCTTTGGGTCACCTGTCCATTTTGTAGTAGGGAAACATTTCGTTCCCGTGCAAGGACGGCTTTGTCTCTTCAGGTGGCTGAATTTTGCACTATTTAACAGCAGTCAACTGATGATGATATGCTGGGTCAATGAAATATTCTAAATTAAGATATAGGGCTTAAGTCTGAAATGCACTCCATGTTTTTTAGTTTACTTCTGCTTTTATAGCAAGTTATGCCACTCTTAGATTAGGTTTTCTGTTGGCTGAGGACTTTGAGTTTTTCTTTTGAGAAAAACATTTCAGAATAATGTTGTTGTACTGAAATCTTAGTCTCTTCTGACTCTTGATGCAATCTGGCTTGTGTAGCTATTGTTAATCACTAGTCATCTGTGTATTGGTCTGTCTGTGTTTCGGCACTTTTTTTTTCTAAAATGCCTTTAGATGAATAAGGTAGGAGAATGTGTCACTGGAGTAGGATTTTTGAAGTGCTTTAAAGACTCATTATTTAAAAATAAATTGAAGGGCCTACTTCTCTGAATCTCTCTTCATGTGTAATTCAGTGAGAGTTCAGCCTGACAAGAGGTTAGACCCTAAGCATTCATAACTTATCACAAAAACAAGAGTAGTGTGAAAGCAATGTGTGAAGCTGTGTTGTTAATTGCTTCCATATTTTAATATGTGATTATTGATTTGCATTATGCAGGAAGAGCTTGGTTTTACTGACCTTCTTGTAGGATATTTGGAGAACCTGAAAGCAGGGAATGTAGGCTGTAGATTTCATCAGAGAGAAGGGAGAAGAAAAAGCTGTCGATGCCTCTTATTAAGAGTGAGATGGAATAGTATGGACTTTGCTCCGTAGACAAGCAGTTGACAAAGGATGGCGTGAGGCTTGGAAGCAAACTGAACGGTAGACACAAGCTGATGGCTTTGTGTGAGGGAAATGCTGAGGGGAACTGTGTTTTAACTGCTGTTTGTTCCGATGAAACCCTGTCTTATGCAAACAAACTTGGCATTGCTTGAGGTACTGGAGTAGTGTCCAGTTCTGGGCTCCCCAGTGCAAGAGAGACATGGCACTCCTGGAGAGAGTCCAGCGGAGGGCTACCAAGATGAGTAGGGGACTGGAGCATCTCTCCTCTGAAGAAAGGCTGACCGAGCTGGGCCTGTTGAGCCTGGAGAAGAGAAGACTGAGAGGCGATCTCATCCATGTCTACAAGTATCTGAAGGGAGGGTGTCGAGAGGATGGGGCCAGGCTCTCCTCCGTGGTGCCCAGCGACAGGACGAGCGGCAACGGGCACAAACTGCAACACAGGCAGTTCCATCTGAACCTGAGGAACAACTTCTTTCCTGGGAGGGTGACAGAGCACTGGAACAGGTTGCCCAGAGAGGTGGCGGAGTCTTCTTCGCTGGAGATTTTCAAAACCCGCCTGGACGCGATCCTGGGAAACACGCTCTAGAGGACCCTGCTGGAGCAAGGGGGGTTGGCCTAGGCGATCTCCAGAGGTCCCTTCCAACCTCGACCGTTCTGTGATTCTGTGATACTAAGAGAAAGGTTACACTATTGGATAGTCAGGTTTCATAAAAAGAACACAAAAGTTGGAGCAAGAGGAAGGAGAAATGCCACAGGATTTAATAGGCAGATAGAAGATGTTTACAGCAGAAAACTTACTAGTGGCTTATTTACTTTTGCTGAACAGGATTCTTGCTGTATACCTAAATCCTGAATTGATTGTTGGAGAAGCTACAAATAAGTCGTTGGTCATGGTTAATAGGATCCTACGTTCGTTCATGTTATGCTACTTCAGTTAAATTTTCACTAGCAGTATAAAGCTTATACTAAAATCCATTTCACTTGGAAAGCAGTTCCTGTTTATATATACTGTATGACTTCTCCTAGGTGAAGGAACACTTTACTTGGTTTTAGTTATTGCCTTGTACTGTTCTTAGAATTCCTAAAAAAGCGGATGTGGGAATGGGCCGATTTGTGTTACCGGTTCCAGTACGAGGGACAGATTTAATTGATCTTTTGATGTGTTGCTTTTAGGTGAAGGAGAATCTGCTGTCATGCAAGATGCTGCTGCATTGCAAGCGGGATGAGTTACGCAAGTTGTGGATTGAAGGGATCGAGCACAAACATGTCCTGAATTTGCTGGATGAGATAGAGAACATCAAGCAGGTGCCCCAGAAGTTGGAACAGTGCATGGCCAGCAAGCACTACCTCAATGCAACAGATATGCTGGTAAGATGTGGTACCTCATGCTGGGCAGCTACCCACCAGAAACACACTGGTCAGCTGTCTGATCATCCACAGGCAGATGTGCTGTCTGTTGTTTTTATCATTTGCTTTTTTTTCTTCTGAGTTTCTCTTCTATGTTTTGTTCTGTCACTTGTTGTTTTCTTATTCTGGAACTTCCATTTATGTCTTTACTTTTCTTTGCTCCTTCCTGACCTGAATTTGGGGACACAGTCTCTCATCGTGTTCAGTTATTTCTTATCTTCTACTTTAAAAGCTGTCTTCATCTGTTTACTTGTCCTGGTCCTGATCCTTTCCATAACGATGTGGTTCCACACCCATTTGGCCTGCACATAGGATTTCTTCCTGCTTTTGCAACCTGGTATTTTTCTCTCTGCTGACCTTCTGTGAACTCTTTCTCTGATCTCTCTCTACTTCTCCTGTCTGAACATCCTCAGGTCTCCTCTTGAACTGGTTTTTATGCTAACACCATCTGAACTGACTGTCCTTTATTTAAAATGATTTTCCCAGACACCTGCTTCTATCATCACCTTTCTCTATTGCTTAGCAATTACCTCAAAACCAATTCACTTTGATGTGGAAGAACTATCCTATTTCTCTCCGATTTCATCTCCCAGCATGCACTCACAAATTTGGTCAACTATTTGGAGGGAGACTCTTTTTTTCACCACTCAGGTATGTTTACCTCTCCTTCCTTTCCTCTATTTACTTTACCAGGATTCTTGATCCTTTTTCCATATCTACAGTTCTTTTTCTCATCTTCTTTCTCCTTCTCTTCAAGTGCTTTCTCTTGTTTTCTTCATTTCCATTTCTTTTACAGCATACCTTTCAATTCCAGCCTTGCGTTGTAGGAAGAAGTTTCCTAAACTTCTCTAATAACTGTCGTTTTCTTTCTCATGTTTTAAACTCACCAAACATGCTTCTTCACCAGTCTTTAGTCTTTTCCTTCCTAAAACTGCCTTCTACCAGTAGCTAAAACCTTTTGAAAGTTAAGGCAAAAGGGATGTGTTTGATGTTCTTTATTTTTGCCAGAGAACGCCTTGGAGGAAATCTTTTCATTGCCTTCTTTTTTTATTGTTATCAACTTTACTGTTCTTTGTATTTCTCACAACATCAGTCTTAGATATGCGTCTTTACTTCTTTTTAACAAGTCATTCTTTGTGTGAGGGAAATGCTGAGGGGAACTGTGTTTTAACTGCTGTTTGTTCCGATGAAACCCTGTCTTATGCAAACAAACTTGGCATTGCTTGAGGTACTGGAGTAGTGTCCAGTTCTGGGCTCCCCAGTGCAAGAGAGACATGGCACTCCTGGAGAGAGTCCAGCGGAGGGCTACCAAGATGAGTAGGGGACTGGAGCATCTCTCCTCTGAAGAAAGGCTGACCGAGCTGGGCCTGTTGAGCCTGGAGAAGAGAAGACTGAGAGGCGATCTCATCCATGTCTACAAGTATCTGAAGGGAGGGTGTCGAGAGGATGGGGCCAGGCTCTCCTCCGTGGTGCCCAGCGACAGGACGAGAGGCAACGGGCACAAACTGCAACACAGGCAGTTCCATCTGAACCTGAGGAACAACTTCTTTCCTGGGAGGGTGACAGAGCACTGGAACAGGTTGCCCAGAGAGGTGGCGGAGTCTTCTTCGCTGGAGATTTTCAAAACCCGCCTGGACGCGATCCTGGGAAACATGCTCTAGAGGACCCTGCTGGAGCAAGGGGGGTTGGCCTAGGCGATCTCCAGAGGTCCCTTCCAACCTCGACCGTTCTGTGATTCTGTGATACTAAGAGAAAGGTTACACTATTGGATAGTCAGGTTTCATAAAAAGAACACAAAAGTTGGAGCAAGAGGAAGGAGAAATGCCACAGGATTTAATAGGCAGATAGAAGATGTTTACAGCAGAAAACTTACTAGTGGCTTATTTACTTTTGCTGAACAGGATTCTTGCTGTACACCTAAATCCTGAATTGGTTGGTGGAGAAGCTACAAATAAGTCGTTGGTCATGGTTAATAGGATCCTACGTTCGTTCATGTTATGCTACTTCAGTTAAATTTTCACTAGCAGTATAAAGCTTATACTAAAATCCATTTCACTTGGAAAGCAGTTCCTGTTTATATATACTGTATGACTTCTCCTAGGTGAAGGAACACTTTACTTGGTTTTAGTTATTGCCTTGTACTGTTCTTAGAATTCCTAAAAAAGCGGATGTGGGAATGGGCCGATTTGTGTTACCGGTTCCAGTACGAGGGACAGATTTAATTGATCTTTTGATGTGTTGCTTTTAGGTGAAGGAGAATCTGCTGTCATGCAAGATGCTGCTGCATTGCAAGCGGGATGAGTTACGCAAGTTGTGGATTGAAGGGATCGAGCACAAACATGTCCTGAATTTGCTGGATGAGATAGAGAACATCAAGCAGGTGCCCCAGAAGTTGGAACAGTGCATGGCCAGCAAGCACTACCTCAATGCAACAGATATGCTGGTAAGATGTGGTACCTCATGCTGGGCAGCTACCCACCAGAAACACACTGGTCAGCTGTCTGATCATCCACAGGCAGATGTGCTGTCTGTTGTTTTTATCATTTGCTTTTTTTTCTTCTGAGTTTCTCTTCTATGTTTTGTTCTGTCACTTGTTGTTTTCTTATTCTGGAACTTCCATTTATGTCTTTACTTTTCTTTGCTCCTTCCTGACCTGAATTTGGGGACACAGTCTCTCATCGTGTTCAGTTATTTCTTATCTTCTACTTTAAAAGCTGTCTTCATCTGTTTACTTGTCCTGGTCCTGATCCTTTCCATAACGATGTGGTTCCACACCCATTTGGCCTGCACATAGGATTTCTTCCTGCTTTTGCAACCTGGTATTTTTCTCTCTGCTGACCTTCTGTGAACTCTTTCTCTGATCTCTCTCTACTTCTCCTGTCTGAACATCCTCAGGTCTCCTCTTGAACTGGTTTTTATGCTAACACCATCTGAACTGACTGTCCTTTATTTAAAATGATTTTCCCAGACACCTGCTTCTATCATCACCTTTCTCTATTGCTTAGCAATTACCTCAAAACCAATTCACTTTGATGTGGAAGAACTATCCTATTTCTCTCCGATTTCATCTCCCAGCATGCACTCACAAATTTGGTCAACTATTTGGAGGGAGACTCTTTTTTTCACCACTCAGGTATGTTTACCTCTCCTTCCTTTCCTCTATTTACTTTACCAGGATTCTTGATCCTTTTTCCATATCTACAGTTCTTTTTCTCATCTTCTTTCTCCTTCTCTTCAAGTGCTTTCTCTTGTTTTCTTCATTTCCATTTCTTTTACAGCATACCTTTCAATTCCAGCCTTGCGTTGTAGGAAGAAGTTTCCTAAACTTCTCTAATAACTGTCGTTTTCTTTCTCATGTTTTAAACTCACCAAACATGCTTCTTCACCAGTCTTTAGTCTTTTCCTTCCTAAAACTGCCTTCTACCAGTAGCTAAAACCTTTTGAAAGTTAAGGCAAAAGGGATGTGTTTGATGTTCTTTATTTTTGCCAGAGAACGCCTTGGAGGAAATCTTTTCATTGCCTTCTTTTTTTATTGTTATCAACTTTACTGTTCTTTGTATTTCTCACCAGCAGGATCAAGAGCTGGAAATCTTAATGTTGTCATTCCTAGGGCCAAAGCTTTCCCTTAATTTCCTTCTTTCTGGCTTCCCTCATTTTACCTTAAATGTGATTTTTTTTTTTTTTCCACCCACTTTCCTTTGAAACGTCTTCAACAGCTTGATGTCAGTCTTGTCATCCCTTTCTGTGATGGCCCAAGTAACTCTATGTGGTTTTTTTTGTTGTTGTTGCTCTCCTAATCTCTTGCCTGACTTGAGCCTTTCTTCACTTTCCTGTTCTTTGCTGTCACTCATATTCTTTTTTCATGCCACATCTGGTACAATCATCTGTCTCTAATCTAGTCACAACATTCCCTTTCTTCCTTTTTAAACTCATCTTCCAAAACCCTCTCAATCTTATTCTTTTTAGATTTTCACTTTCCTAATTTGAACTATTGTCTTATATCTTTTCCTCCTTATTGTAAGCCCTCTAGGATGGATAATGTATCCATTTCTATTGTGTAATGTAGAGTGGAATTTTATGATATTTTATAATACTTTATAAAATGTTGTGTAAGACCCATTAGAATTACTGATCAGCAATGCAATGACTAAGACAGCATATACGAGAAGAGTGCAGTTAAGTTTTGCCAAGACTCTTGTCACTTTTTGATGTAGGATATTGGAGTGAGTGTTAGTCTGATATTTCCAATTAAGAGAGGTGAAGAAGTGGATGTAAATTTAAGGGTGTTCAGTGTAGGGGAAAAACAATATCCAGAATTAGCAGGACTATCAGTCCACACAGTAACCAGTTGATGCTTCCTTTTACTGATGAACTGCGATCAGCGTGCAAAAGAACTGGTTTGTCCTCCTCTAAAGAAGGGTTGCAGAAAGGCCAAGTACTCTGATTTAGCAGTTTTTTTTTTTTGGAAAATAATTTGTTTTTTCAGAAGAAAATTCCAGAGAAATAATTCCATTTCTGTCTGGATTACAGAACATCACTGTAAAAAGTAAAATAACAATACTTAGCAATTCTCAAATAAAAGGTTTTGGGAGTGGCTTGCAAATATAAACTCCTTTTGAGTAGGGTGTGGTGGTGTGTGTGTGTGTGTGTGTGTCACATGTGCACACATGTATGGAGAGGGGGAGAAGTACACATAAATTTACTTAAGGTCAATAGTAGCCTTCACTAAAGTACAAACTTCTGTAGGATACCATGCATGTTTTTTTTTCCCTCCCTCCAGAAATAACAATGATATAAATAGTTGCTGGTTTTTGAATCAAGGAATGCAGAGAAACCTTTACTGAAGATTGGTTGCATTATTTCAGCCATTCATTGCCACTTTCAATTCTCATTTGAAGACGAGTGCGGCTGTATCATCGCAGCAGTAACTTACCTGCATTTGGAGCTTTTCCATAGACAAAATTTGCTGTGGGCGCGTTGGCTTTTGCCATCTTCTGTTAACGCTGCCTCTGCAATACCACGATGTTGTAATCACTCACTGGCTGCGGGATAATTCCTTTCTCCTTCTTTAGGATATGAACATAGTGTAAAATAAGTCTTAATCTATCAGGGATGCCGGGTGTTTATAGCTCTCTGTCCTTTTGTTTACCTTGAGGAAGGAAACAGCCGCTCATGGCTTATAAAAAGCCCAAAGTGATCTGACGAGGAGCTCATATCCCTCACTTTGAAAATTGGAGAACTGATGGTTTTTTTTTTTTTTCCTGTAGCTTTGTGATATGTACAGTCCAAGTTAGACCTTTGCAGTCGTCGCGTTGGGTTGATGCAGGCACACTAATGGCATAATTTCTGGTTGCTGCATTGCATTTCTGCAGTCTGTTCTTTGTATTCCACTCACATTAATTGAAGTAATTTTGCCACTGAAGCGTGTTTCAAACCTCTGCATTTAAATTGAAATTTTAATTCCCTTATTGTTTGGAAAAGACAGCTGAAGATGGCTTGTTGTAGGTTTCATTATCACTCAAAACACTCCAGCTGCTAGTTCTAATGTGCAATGACTGAGTAATGCTGGAAAGAATTATTAATATAAGAATGGCAGCTTTTCCCAGTAGTATGAACAAGATGCAAAGATATTTTGTGACAGCTTATATTTGTGTGAAGTTAAAAACCTTAAGTGGCTGGTTTTTTGTTTCTGATTCAGTATCCACCTAGAATAGCCCAGATGAGCTTTGAATATGATTTATTCAAGTTCTGGCATCTTTATAATATGCACTACTGTTAAGTAGGGCCAATAGGATCAGTTTTGCCGTCCTGTAATTGCAGCTTACACAGCCTGTGATTAAAGGAATCTAGTTCCAGTCGTCTTTGAATTGTGAATGCTAGGAGAAATTATGAACTTCTATATATGCCTTTTTTTAAAGAATGAGTTTGTATGGTTGTCTGTAAAGGAGCTGTTTTGTGACCCACCTTGTTGCTAGAAGTAACACGCGCTTGTATGTGATAATTGCGTGTGTGTGCACGTACGTATAGATGTGTGTTTTCTGTTTAATGTGAAACATGCTCAGGTGTTGCTAGAGGAATTCTGACCCAGAAGAACGTTCTTGATGAGAAGGCAGTGGGCAGTCCCAGAAAGGGAGAAGAGTAGAGCTGGATGATAGAGGCAAGCGTGCAGTGAGCTAGCACTTGGTCTAGAAGCATCATCAACTTGGTTGCCAGAAGTCAAGAATCAGCATAATTCGGATCGGCGGTTGGAAGAGAAGATACCGCCTGGCAACACAAGGCTCCAGCCAGGCCGGAAACCAGAAGAAGAAGGTGCAGGAGGATGGGCAGCAGTGGATGGGGCCAGAAGGAATCCTGCTCAGAAAAAATGGACTGATAACGGACATGCTGACAAACGCCTGTCGTGAAGTCCAGCGCTCCTGACTCTGATTCCTCGTGTGTCAGCAAACATTTGTGAAAATCATTAATACAAAGCCTGTGTCTGGTCTTCCCCAGCACTTGGTTATGTACTGCAGGGCGTACTCTGTAGCTAGCAGTTACTTAATTAACTCAAGTAGCGTAGAGGTCTGTGTTGCTGATCTAACTGTTCTGGCTCTGCTGTTGACCCATAAGGTACCCATAGGGAGGAATTAATATTTTCCATTTGTTTAAATAAACTAAGGGATTAAATGCTAAAAACAGATGAAGGAAGAAATGTTGTTGAATCGAATAATTAAAGGTCACGTCGTAATACAACTGCATGAAAATTGCTTCGGCTACTTTCTTTGCATTTCTTGGCTTTTAAACGTCTAGCTTTGCAATTTTAATGAACTAATATCACTTTGGCAAAATATACAGAGGCTTTTTTTTTTTTTTTTTTTTAAATCTAAGAGACCGTGAAGAAAACTCCTATGATGGTGGGATCGATTGTATCAGGTGACAAAACGCAGTAAAGCTGCAGAAAGATCAGTAGGGTAGGAGTGAGAAAGGCTGCCATAGTCAGTTGATTTTTTTTTTTTTTTTTTTTTTGGGTGGGAGGAGGGTAGGAAGCAAAAAAGTAAGTAGTATAGACCCCTCTGTCTGTTCTTAACTTAAGTTTAACATCACGCTTAGTTCTTTTACAGAGCTAGAGACTAGCGTGTATCTGTTTTACTCATGGGGGCATCCTTCTCCTTTAGTCTGTGCGTGTCTTTGTCCCAAGAAATAACAAGCTGAAAAGGCAAAAATTCGTTTCTCTCAGAAGTAGGCCAGGGAACCCTCCAACGCCTACTTCTTGTTCTTTATTTTTCAATGTTAAGGACTTCTATTTTGGTTTCGCTCTGTCAGGGGAAGAAGCCTATGTTTCTCCCATTCTGCTTTCCGAAGTGAGTAATAGCTTCGGCATCTTCTCAGAGTTGACTGTCTTAGTGCAGGTTTGCATTGTTGCCAGTTTGTTTGGTTTCTAAAGTTGAGCTCGTAGAGGTTATT